AAGACTGTCACACAATGGATTTGTCATTCTGCATAGTTGTCAGAAGACTGGCACTAACGCTACAAAATAAAACTTGTTCAATCCAAATGTTTCTTTCACATAGTGTCAAATATGTCTAGATATCACAAACTGGAAAGGTTACGAAGGTGAGCCTAATACTAATATTCTGTAATGATCAAGGTAAGTCTAGGTGCAAAAATGTATCAATTCTTATATTTAAAAATGTAACAAAAAGCTTGAGTAAAGTGGAATTTAAACAAATTCTTTTTTTCTGCATTCCTTATCTAGTAAGAAGTCATATGATCTGCAAGTTATTCAACCTTTGTCTTGGCTTCATCACCTCCTCACCCGCATCATTACATAATGTAATGCTAAGTTAGCAAGCCTGTTCACACATAGTCAATGTTGGGCACTTCTTAGCTATTATTACAACTATTATTATTATCATCAAAGAACTGATATTAAATTGCAGATTGGTCCCTGCAAAGAGGAAAATTACTTTTCTCTTTAATATTTACCATGGTCCTAAGATTTTTTTCAGTGACAGAATGTGTATGGAAATGATACTTGCTAAAAACAAAGCCACTGTTACCTATCTACTCTATAAGAAATTGTCCTAAGAAGAAAGGTACTAATGAACCGAAGTAAGAGGAAGCCAAACGGAAGTTGTTGCTAGTGTTTCCACTTACTCCTGGGAGTAAGAAGAACGCAAGAGAGGTACACCGAAGTTTGTGACAGTGATGTCACCGACATTAGTAATCATGGATGCCTGTCTTAGAGGGTGTGAACGGGAGTGACAAGGACTGCTAGTCTTGCTCATCTATTGGAGATCAAGGAGAACTTATTCTCTGAGTAAGAACTAAATTAGTCTTACCAGAGCTAGAAAAGGTCAACTTTTAATATTCACTCATCAGTGCATGCTTGTGTTGGGCTTAGTCTCAGGGGCTGGGCATCCAAAGAAGATGAAGCCAGAGCCCACCCTAAAGTAGTCTATGGGAAGTAGTCACACACAGAGTTGGAGATGCTCTGTGAGAGAACAGCAGAATCTTGTACAAGGAGCAGTGGGACTTGGGGAGGTGTGATCATCTTGACTGGGGGAAGCAATGGCATCAGTCTGTGACTTGTCTTAGTCACTTTGTCATTGCTGAGACACAGTACACGACACCCACAACTCTAAAGAGGAAAGGTTTATTTTGGCTCACAGTTTGTAGAGGTTTCATTCTACAGTCTTAATTGGCTCCAAGGCAGGGTGACATGGCAGAGGGGCATGGCAGAGGACAAAGAGTTCATGGCATGGTGTTGGGAGACATGGAGCAATCAAGGGAGGGTGGAGGGAGACATACTCTTCCAGGCCACACTCCCAGTGTCCTACCTCCTCCAACTAGACTTCAGCTCCCAATATCATATTTAGCTAATCCACTGATGAGTAACATGATCTAATCACCTCCCCAAAACTCCATCTGTGTAAGCATGAGACTTTGGAGGGAAATCTAGATACAAACTGTCACAAGACTTCACCTCTCAAAATAGCAACACTTTATAGCCTTTTAAGAATTATTTTCATCCTGCAACTCTCTGCCATGTTGTTTTTCTTTGGAGCTATTCTCTATAATAACAACAGTAAACATCCTTGGAATACTTCAAAGATGTTTTACCCTTTGTGAGGATACGGCCAAGAGCTGAGTGATACAGCTTCTGCCTATTTATTAGTGATTTTTGAAGCAAAGAAGTGAATGTAGAAGACAATTCCTGTGGTGCAAGGATTGGAGGAGAGTCAGGATCAGATGACTCACCTGAGCTCTGGCTCTTTCCTAATGTATCTTCTTCCCTCTCAGCCCAGTTTTCTCCTTCTGATACCCCTCTTCTCATCATTTCCAGGAACATCCATCACTTCCCTAGGAGGCCTGCTTGTGGCTTCTGAAAGCAGCTGCTTAAAAGTTGGCTATAAATGCTCCTTTGAGTGACCTCTTGCAGGGAAACAGCCACTTTGGAAGGAAAGTGAGGAAGAACAGATATCTTCTAGACTAAGGGATTTTCTCTGCAGTGGCAGAATGGCGGGTCTGGGCAGAGGTCACTGGGGTCAGATGCTACCTCCCGACACTGAGCAAGTGTATACCCTACATATGTATCTATGTAGTGTATCTTCTAAGAGACTTAGTTTTCAAAGACTACAGAAGGTTTTTAGCTAGGAAACCAACTACTGACTACAGGAAGCATCTTTGTATGAGAACTGGGATTCATATTTTTGGAAGAGGGAGGGAAGTGCTATTCTTGGGGAATTATGGTTGTGAGAAGGTCAGTCTTGTTTCCAGGGATGAATCCACTTGAAGTGGGCTTTGATCATTACTTCAGAGTCCACCAGGTTGGGTCTGGTGGATTTTAAGGCCCTGTCAAAAAATGAGCAAGTTTCTTTGAATACAAGTTCTTATTCTTCATGAGTTTAAATTACTATACTGGCTTCTTTTCCTTCCTTTGTTTTCTTTCTTCTTTTTTTAAACATCCCCTGTTTAGAGTCCAGGTTCTGCAGGCATTTTTATTTTTTATTTTGGATTTTTCCTGTTTTTAAAACATTTCCAATTAAAATACAGCAAATGGGAGAGAACCTCCTGAATGTTTCAGTGATTCTATAATAGCAATAGCACATCTTTGTTTTACTAGCATTAGGCTCATCCATCCCTGCCAAAATGTAGAAAGTTGTCTTAAACACTTGAGCTTCATGGTGGGTGGTAGGAAGTGACATCAGATTCCATAGTGGAGCTCATTTGGATAAACAGAAGTTTACTATTATAAGAAATAGAATTGAACATTCTTTCTTTTTCCATTTCTTCAGTATCTCTTCTTATTTCACTTCTAAGTTACATTTCCAGTTAGTTGTACTTCCTGTAGCTTCCATTTCACAATAAAATTCCAAAATAGCAGAAGAAAAATAGTGCCAGTAGAACTACATATATATATTTGTTATGGCAAGGGAGAGAAACCAAAGATATCTTCAGTCTAGGTCTTCATATGGCAATTAAGAGTACTGAAATATATACCTGGAGACTTCCTGTCTGCAGGAAGAGTAGATAAACAAATATTTCTTTCTGTACTTCTGTGTGAATTTCTCGTTACCTGGATAGTCCTTACCCTTAGCACTCATCAGGCTTGAAATGATTCAGCTATATTATCAGTAGATATTTAAGGAACATTTATGATTTTATTCTTTGAAATGATCTAATCAATATTTCTTAGCAGAAGCAAAACATCTCACTGTGTTAGCTTGAATTCTATTTAGCAAAACATTCCCTTCTTTTTTTTTTTTCTTTTTTTTTTTCTGGTTTTTCTCCGGTACCAGGAACCGAACTCACGACCTTGCGCTTGCCAGGCAGGCGCTTTTGCCGCTGAGCTAAATCCCCAGCCCCAACCTCCAGCTTTTTAGTCACCATGAGGGTGAATGGATCTTCTCTGCTATATGTCCACAATGACATATTAGTTCACCACAGTACCAAAAAAATGTTACCAGCATACCATGGATTGACCTCTAGAATCATGAGTCAAAATGTCCTCTTTATAAATTATCACAGGTATTTTCTCACAGTGATAGAGATCTGACTAACACACTTACAACAAATAAATCCCAGAAACTTTTAGTGACAAGGTTAAAGGCTGACAAGTTCTTGTCAAGGGCCCAGAACAGAAATGTCACAGAAATCCCATGGCTGGTTCTATTCAGCTACCTGTCATGTGGGACTGCAGCCCTCTTACCTGCTCTACCACTCGTTACCATAGTGATTAGGCCGGAGAATAGCGTATTATTCTGAAGTCTTCACGGACAAAGCAAGGAATTTATCAAGCTGGACTATTCATTTTAAAATTGTTTACTTCAACTTGAGAATGTCTCACAGTGTAAACACTGTGGAGACAGTGTATGTGGGTAAACCAAGCAGGGACAATTCTGTTACTATTCTAGGCTGCAAAGTGATAGGAGGTGACCGTGGTGAATAGCATAATGGTGTTAGCCCGGCTGGGACATCTCATTGCAGGGGTAAATTCTCTTAAGTACCAGCCAGAAAAGGGGACTAAGTAAAATCTTCAGAGAGTCTTAAATTGTGATTGCTAAAAGGGTCAGGTTAACAGTTTTCCTTTTTAATATTCAAAACGAGTGGTGAACATGGAGAGGAGATGCTACTATGTCTAGACTAGAGGCTATAGGCAAAAGCCTTTGGGAATCTCACATTGATAATGCGATTCAGGGGAATTTCCCCATTTCAAGATGCTGACATATACCTTGGAAGAGAAGCTTAGCTGAGACACCTAAGTCCCCATAGTGCCACTACCTTGCTGCATGGCCCTGGATAAGTGACAGTCTCTTTGTGCTTCTGTTCCTTCATCTGTAAAATGAGAGCTCTGGATGAACGGTCTTTAAGATACCAGCCAGCTCTGAGATTCTCTGATTCCATGAGGGAAATTATATGCTAATGAGGCTGAGTTTCAATTGTATTCTGCGGACAGTCTTGCATTGTTTTACAGTGCACATAATTGACCAGTCCATTTAACGCAAGTCATGGTTCCTTAGACTAAGCCAGTCAAGAAACCCTTTTCAATTTCTTCCCTGTCTGCTCTAGGATTTTGTTATGACACCTCAGAAACACCATCTTAGAAAATTTGCTAAAAAAAGCATTAAAAACATCCTCCCCTCTTCACGTTTCATTAAGTCGCTCTACCAGTGTGCCAGCATGACATATTCTCAAGTGACCAGAGCTGCTAAGAGCTGCAGGATGAGTTAAACAAAGGCCAGCTCATAAAATACCACTGTCCTCACATTCCTACTGCACTGTTTTCCTCTGTAGTATTTCCCACAGCCTTTAAAATTTATATCAATCACAGGCAGACTTTATTGATGTAAGTGTCTGGTGAAGAAAAATAGATTACTCTAGAAAACTATTGGGGAAATGACCAAGGAAAGTGCAGAAGGTCACCGAAACCAGACAGGTAGTCACTGACAGTCAGAGAGAGCTTACGGGTCAAAGGCTGCAAGCAGGAAGTTAAGCAGGAGGCTGATGGACTGTTCCACGTGGATTTGGTGAGTGGTTGGCATCCGTTTGTTGAGCTGGTAAAAAATGGTGGAGAGCACAGCCTCTAAGCGGGCCACGTTAAGCTCTATGTTTGGGTCCAGGTTGTTCAAAGCATTTTCTCGCAGTGCTTCTATGACATTCCAAATGTCTACCAGGTGCACTACAATTAAAGCAGAGTTAAAACATCAGCCCAAAGTGAATGGAAAGGCAGATATATTTCTTCACCTACCCACCCACCCTGGTTTATCTAGATTCTCCCCCATGTGTTCAGCTGCTGTAGGAGTTGACATAAATAAATGTGTATAAGGCATGATCTCTAAGACTTTTTTTTTTTTTTTAAAAAAAGAACCAATAAAAGCAATGGTACAAAATTTCAAAAAAGATTATAGGAGAGTAACAATGGTTAGTACAGCGCGTATTGTTACCTTCAAAGTACTTGCTCAGATTACAAGACATAGGCATGAAAAATTGGTCAAACAATATAGACACCAATCTTTTCAATGAGCTAAGAGCAATTAGTAGTATAACTTTCTTAAGGGTCTTATTTATTTATTTATTTATTTTTCCTTTTCCCTTCTTTCTTTTCTCCTTTCCCCCATCCCAGATTCTCTTCCCTTTCAAACTGTCTCTTCCCATTTCACAGTATCTATTGTACATTTTGGATCTGACTTGATGCATAACATACAATACCAAGCCAATGGTTGACGGAATAGCACAGTAGCTTTAATGTCAACCTGCACAGCGACGATTTACAGTCCATTTAATGCAAGTCATGGCTCCTTAGACTAAGCCAGTCTAAGCTTAGTCAGACATACAGCCATGATTCCCATGTTCCATGTAAGAAAGCTGAAGAACACGGAAGTTAACTGTCAATGCAGAGGTCAGTCAAGGGCAAAAGTGATATGTAAAGTTTATCCAAGTTCATCCAACTTAAAGTATCCACGTTTATCTAAAGTATTTCTCCACTGTACAAAATGACTACTTTTTGTCCCTCCAAAAGAAAACAGGACCAGAATTGAAATTTTAGTGTTTGAAAGGATATCAAAATTGCATATGTGCTCTGAAAATATTTTCATTTATTTATATATTTCTTAGCAGTGTGCAGCTGGAACTAAGCAGAAAGGAAAGTTAAGGAAGACAAAGAAAAAAGGACAAGCGATGAGTGCGCGGCAAGTGGTGGATGCTTAACTGCCCTGACCACAAGCAGTGTCCTGGCTACTTAACTGTGCTGGTTAGTTTTGATTGTCTACCTGACTGCAGGAAGTCTCCTAAGAGGTGAGTGTATTGTGAGGGCACGGAACTCATCAGTGAATTAACCAGTGATGAGTTCATAGCTAAATGGGGTGTTAGGAGGCAGGACCTTGTTGCGGGAAGTGGGTCTTGGGGGCTTGAACTTAGGAACGATACCGTATCTGGTTTCCGGTCCCTTTCTCTTTCTCGTCAGCCCTGCCTCACAGCTGCCAAGAGTGGAGCTGCTTTCTTCTGCCGCACCTTCTGTCACGCTATGATGCGTCTACTTTGTAGTCAGCTAACTGTGAACTGAAATCTCTCAAACTAGGAGCTAAAATAAACTCTCTTCCCTTAAGCTGTGGATGCCAGGTAGTCTCGTCTCAGCAATGAGAAAGCTGGCCAATACAATCATGGATTGGCTTATCAAGTTTATTAAGTCACAGTTACTTTCACTGGACTAGTCAAAAAATCTACTTCTATTTTTTCTCCTTTGCCTTGAAGTATTATCAAGACACTCCAAAAACCATCACCACCACCACAGTCACGAACTTATCCATTAGCTCTGAAGGTTTGCCAGTGCTCCTCGCAGTCCATTCCCACTGAAGCAGGTGGTCTCTCTCTCATCCGCTCGCTGTCACAATTTTCTAGAATTCTGCATAGCTGAAATTCTACAAGATGTATGCTTGTTTCACCAGGATGTTTTTACTTAGTGTATGTATTTTAAGATTAATGTATGTTGTTGCATGTATCAATAGTTTGGTGCTTTTTGTTGCTCTGTAATATGTCATTACGTGGATATATCACAATTTAGTTATCAACTTGCTTGCTCATGGACATCTGAGTTGATCTAAGTTTGGCATTTTATGAATAAAATTGTTATGAACAATCATGTATATGCCCTTGGATAGACATATACGTCTGTTTATCCTGGTAAATACTTAGAAATGAAGATCTGGTTATATAATGTAACTTGTGAAGAACCTTCTGTTGTGTTTTCCGAAGCAACTGTACCATCCCACCATCCCATCATCCCATGTGCAGGTTAAAAGAGTTCCAGATCCTCCCATATTTTCACCAAGTTAAAGGTTCACTTTTCAGTACACTTTTGCATTTGTAAATGTTTTGTCTTTTCTCAGTGAAGTATATATTTGTGTTCCATTTCCCGAGAGATATAATACTATATACCCTTTTTCACTAGCTGTTTTCATGTCCTGCATCTTTGGTTACTCTGTCCTTTGCTTAGATGTTTGCTATTGCTTTTTTTTTTTTTTTTTTCTTCATTGTGCTACCAGAGATCAAGCCCAGGGGTGTTTTGCTACCAAACTACAGCTCCAGCTCTTTTATTTTTTATTTTGAGACAAAGTCTCAAATTTGCAATCCTCCCGCCTCAGCCTCCCAAGTAGATGGCATTACAGGTGTGCATCACTGCATCTGGCTTTAATAATTTCCCATGAATTTGAAATGCAAAGGTGGCTTGCAAAACTCCTATTTTCCTGCAGTACTGGGGATTAAACACAGGTCCTTCACACTGAGCTATATCATTAGCCCCTTTTAGCTTTTGAGACAGAGTTTTGCTCAGTTGCTAAATTGTCTGGAGGGGATTGAATTTACAATCCTCCTGTCTAAGTTTCCTGGACTGCTGGGATTACAGGAGTGTTTCATCATGCCTGGCTCGTTTCCCTTTTGGAGAGCTGGCTTCTGCTCATTTCATATCTACTTCTCATTCATCATATGCTATTGTCAACACCACTCCCTCAGGGACCCTCTATTACCAGGTTCTGAGCCTCTCTCATGTGCCACCTCAGAACCCGGTTCTTCCTCTCACAGCTGTCAGTGGACTTTCTCTGTGGGAGGCTGCTTGTCTTTCTGTACTGTAAGTGGATGGGAAGAGACTGTGTTGTGATAGCTGTTCACATCTCCAGCACTCTTCCGATACCTCAGAGAGACTGAAATCAATATCGTTGGCTACATGAGAAAACGACAAGGAAGTGATTCAACAGTGAAATGAAGTTACGAGCAGTAAACTGCAGTTGTTACGAGTCATACAAGTGTTGCTTTGAATCCTCAATATAACATCAGTGAAGCTTCATGTTCGAAAAACGGGACGAATAATAGCAACTTCCCTTAATGGGGATTAATGAGATAACACTCAGAAAGCACTTGGAACCAGGTATGTCATGTAGGAAATAATGGTTCATTATTTAGACAAATAAAATGTCTAGATATCATACAGAAGTTATTAAAGATACATGGGCCCCGTTGATGTCTTCCTCTATTCAAGTTTGCAATGTAAGGAAAAATACAGTACTGGTTCTAAAGCTGGGTGCCGTTGCACATGCCTGCAATCTCAGTGACTTGGAGTGCTGAGACAGGGAGATCAGAAGCTTAAGGCCAGTATGGGAAAAGTAGCAAGACCTGTCGAAAGATAAAATAGAAAGGCTGGAGACGTAGTTCGGTGGTAGCGTTCTTGAGGCATGAGGCCTGGGTTTAACTGTTAGTACCACAAGAAAAAAAAATACTAGTTATGGTTATATAATTATAAATGACTTAAATAAAACTAATTTCATAACTATTTGCAAGACACTGCAGTGGATCCTGGGGACTCACAGGCACCGCAGATGTAGTTTCTGCCTCAGGGAGCCGGCAGTCGGAGGGGGACACAGACGTGACTCTGACAGATAATGAGACAGTGACAGGTGCTGTAAGAACTGGGGCACTGGGTATAAGATGGGATTATGATACGGCTGTGATGGAGCCAAGGATAAGATAAGGCTGGAGGAGCACTGAAGCTCTGAGAAGGGTTTTGTTCTTTATGCTGAGTAGGAAGATGCAAGAGAGCCACATGGTCAGAAAGGCAGCTGAAAAATGCAATTTCTGGCTTTAAGAGAAAAAAATGGTGATGGACAGGCAGGAAGTGGGAAGTAGTTGGAGCCTGTTGTAGTCCAAGTAAGAAGCAGAGATATTTTTACATGGAGGGTGCTAAGCAGGCACCCTGTAACTGCGCGCCGTGGTGTGTTGCTTAATTCCAGGGGTGGCAGGGTGAAAAGGATGCAGTGTATAATCACAAAGACTGAGGTTTCCTTCCTACTTCTGCTAGTAATAGTAAAACTGGGCAAATTGTTTCATTTCTGTAAATTTTAACATTCCGTTTGTAGAAACGAAGAAACTAATGCCACCCAGAAGGAGTTGTAGTAAGATTAAAAGAGAAAATGTATTTACAAGTGGTAGCCACAAGGCTTGGCAGTCCTAGGTGTGCAACAAAGGATAGTCATTGGTGCTAAAAATAAACACCCTCTGATCTGAAGCCGTATTATTAATTTATAAGATTTGTGAGTCCATGGCTAAGTTTAAGCATAGTTTCCCAAATCCAATAAACTAATAAACAAGCAATTTTGATCATATATTATGTGGGCAATATAAAGGAAGCACAAACTACATTTCAGCTACAAAACAGGTATGTATTCATTTCAGTTGTCAAAAATTCTAACAGTAGAATGTCAATTGATTTTGTCATCTTGGACAGTTACATATCTAGTGAAGAATGCTATCTCCCATAGGTTTTCTTGGAAATTTTACTTGACTGGTATCTACTTTGGGAGGTATAATTGCCCTTCCAGAGAAGGGTGCAGGGTCCGGGCAGTGCCTGGGTTCAGACAGGCTTCCCCACTGCCCATCCGTATGACCTCAGGCAAGTCACTGACATCCTTAAATTTCAGTTTCCTTATATGTAAAATGGGGACAACAATTATTTCTTCCATTTCAATGTTATTGTTCAGGTTAAGTGAGATAATCCACACGAATTCACACAGTGTTTTGTGCAAAATAATCATTCAATATTACTGTTCCTAAGAAGCAAGTACTATGAGCCTTTTGTTTATTCAAAGAAGAACATTGGGAAAGGCTGATTTGAAATTCATTAGGAAGTTCCTA